CAGTGTTATCATTTTTTTTTGTCAAAAAATGCTTTTTGCGTGCATTTTGTTTCGCATTGTTTCGTCAATCCTGACTTGTTAACAGATATTAGTAACTACAGGTGATTACTTTTATTCTTATCTTCTTATTCTTATTTTCAAAAATCTTTGATTTTATTGAAATCCCATTTTGCAGCAAATTGTGTTTTCAGGAAAAGCAAAGATTTTTGGAGGGAGAAAGTGATAAGACAAAAAGTAATCACCTGCTCAATTCTTCCATAAAAGTGGAATATTCAATTTTGGAGCCGTACTATTATTTATTAACAAATTACGATAAAAAAATGCAATAAATGCATTTTTGACAAAAAAAGAAACTGATAACGTTGTTTTTCAGTCACCTTTATACATGCCTTGAAACAATCAGACGAAAGGTATCAAGAATACTCCTCCAGACAGGATGTTGAAAAAAGGGGGCATGCGCTAACAGGTATCAATAAAGCTCTATTTCAAACGTGTGGAACATAAAAATGGAGCGCATAATGTAGCAGTATTGACATTTATGACTATTGCACGTATATTTCTTTCCGTAGAAGCAGTAGTATTATACCACAAAGTACCAGCGATCCTAATGCACCGCAACAGACACACAGTGCAATTGTCCGGACTTTCCAGTTTGTTCCAAATAAAAAATCGCCTTCGTTGCAATTGCAGATGCACTGCTGCATCAGAGAGGGCAGTGTCCGCTTTCATTAACTTAAAAAATCAGTGTGTTGGTGCATCAACCTTAGTTTTATCATCTCTCGTCACTCGCGACAAGCAATGAATGCAATGGAAGAGTACGTCCACCTTTCCCATCTCAAAGTCACAGCAACACTGATACGCGACACGCCGCATGTGTTCGTTCAGATATTTCGAAATGCTTTCGTTAAGATATGAGAGAAAAGCGGGGAAGAATCTAGAAGACGAGGGGATTACAGTCTATTCTTTTAGATGCTCGGAATGTTGCGTTGCCTGCAAGAAACAACAGCGACTATTTGCACCGAAAGTGCTGTCGTTCCCTGAACTCGCTTATTTTTACGGATGATACCAATCACGCAAATGAAATGTTATAAATTTTAATCGGGTAGTTAAGATATTGTACCAGGAAGAGGTGAAGGAATGCGTATAGCGCGAAAGGCACAAGTCAACCTGATTTGTTTGTTATGGTGTTGAATGTCCGATGGTGTTGCAATATGATTTGTATTCAGCAGCATTCACAGCGACTATCTACTATTACAGAGGCATCACGATCCACGTCTTGTAGTGAATGAACTTTCAATTTGAGAAAATATGCATCGCAGGCACTAAATTATAGCGAACGTTGACACCAACCAATTCATATAGTACTAGAGCACTAGTCTTCTTTTGCACATTTCACAAATCGCCTGTTCAGAATAAAATTTGGGGAGCACTCTGACAATGCATATGAGCTGACATCAGACCAGAGATTAATATTAATTGCTGATAGTTGATTTCTTTGATCATGATGTTTCCAATATCAAGTTCTAATTTGGAGACCAGAATTTTACCATAAAGACAACGTTCGTCTGCAAATCCTATTTAAATCCTCATTTTCCATATTATAGATATCGTATGATAATAAATCGATATTCTTAGTGTTATCTATGTAAGTAGCTTAAAGTTATAAAGCTTCATTTCCGAGTCTAAAACCACAGTGCTATGAGTCAGCATTCGTCAACTTAATAACCAAATAAGGGACGTTGCTGTTTTGTTTTGAGTTTCTGAGGTCATTTCCATCATCTCCTTGATGAATCATATAAGGATTCAACTTACACCTGCAATCCGATGAAATCAGATATTGTTAAGTTATGTTGAACTTTTCTAAATCGCAAATTACGTCACTTTTATTTAGTTCACATGCCTTTCCATTTCAAAGAACTATAATACATTGTATTCTAATTAAATATTGTAATATGTGTGTAAGGACCGTATCGTCGGTCGTTCCTACTATTATTATAGGACAACCCTTATGGCCTCCTTGATTTTCATAGTGTTCCCTTGAGAAGCGCAGGGGTATTTCCAGATTTCTACTGTTTCTTGTTAGCGCTCTATTTTGCGGTTATATTTCTTTTGGAATTCCAAGAAGTTTCAGGCTGATATAACTTGATTTTTTATCATTTGTTATACAAAGCTGAAATTTCTTAAGATTCAAAAAGAAAACATAACCTCACAATCGGAGAGCGCTGGCGCTGACACGGAACAGAAGAAATCGGAAGGAGGCTATAAAGGCGTCCTACAATAAATTGTAGAACGACTGACGATACGTTCCTAAATAAGACAGCGGAAAGCGCCAGCTATCTTTTTATAGTGTCCTCGCTTAAAAGTTGATTCATTCTGTAAGACTAGACGTAAGGCCACCTTTTTTAGGGCTACTTAATAATCGGTTATAAACAGCAGATGAACATATTGATGTAAAAATTAAAATGATTGGGAGCAATCTCGTTTGTTGACATGTCCGCTATTTTTTACAAATGGTAAAAATATTGTAAAAATCTTGTCACGTTCACAGATAAACTGTCTATAGGATCAAAGTTTCATCTTGTATATTATTCAGATGCGTTGAAGTTATCAGAAGTGATTGAGATTCCGGAAATGATTTCTTGACTTTGTTTTACGCTTTGAACCTTTTTTATAAGCAACGTTAGTTAAACATATACATTTACAATCTTTTATTTGAATTGCATTTTAAGCAAGTGAAACTTGTTTCAGCTGTTTTGTAACTTCAGTGTGCTTTCCTGTCGATCAGTGCTTTTGATTTGTTAGCGCGAGGTATTTCGAGAACAAAATATGTTTCTCGTTCTGTGGGAAGTTTTTCATTCGCATTTTGTTGATTTTAGTACATGGTTACTTTTGTGACACCATTCATAAAACATATTGCAAAACAACACATCGGATTTAAATTGATTGAAGACGCATTTATAGGTGTGTTGGGAAACAGTGCAACCTTCTGAAGCTTTAATATATGTTCCAAAAAATGTTATCGCCGTCAAAAAGTCTGCAACCTTGACTCCATTTTGCAAAATAAGCCACGGTGAGTTAAACAGTTTTGCAATATAATGTATATCAACTGTTAATCAGACTGCACTTATTCGAGTAAATGTGTTAAGAAGAGTTTTCAAAAATGAACGAGGTTAATTGGACGAAGAGATTAATGAAGTCGAATTGTATGTAAAGGAGCAGATGCAAGTTTGTTTATTGGTTATAATATTCCGTCTTCGGGTTCATATCGAGCTGCTGAAATTAAGAACGTATACTCATTGAGGACATGTTTTTGGGACATGTGAAATTGGTAATACAGTGCAGTAAGAACAGATTCTTACAGTAGATTTGCAAATTTTTTGTCATACAGTATTGTTTAAAATTTGTTTGGCAATCAATCATTCCTCGAGATGATATTTTCTTAAATCATAAATTTATTTTGGATAACGCTATTAATTCCTCAAAAAGTCAACGTAAGGCAGTTATAAAAATTTGGTTTCCGGAAGTACATACTAACTTGCCTTTTTTGAATTAAATATCCAATTTCTGAATTGCACGCGAGAGTCCAAATATATTTCATGTAGCCGAATCTAGCCGATTCTGTGATATCTCAAATTATGAGTAAAAATGATAAATGCAGGCCAATGAATTATTAAAAGTTTTTTTTTCATATTGATGCCTTTGCCATAAGATTTGCAACGGGTTTCTTATAGTAAAGGACATATTTCAGTAGATTTTATTGCGGTTTTGGATAACAATGTATCATTTGTGGCAAAAAAAGATGAAAATAGGTTTTAGAAATCCCAAAAAATTCTATTGTATTTGCCATTGAAAATGAGGTTAAGTTTATAAAAGGCTGTCTACTTCGCAAAATGTTAGTTTTCGAGACACATGGAAATATTGGTTTTTCTCTTGCATCACACTTTTTTACAATAGCACATGGCGTTGACGCGGCAACAGCTGAATATTAGTCGTTAGCCCGATTTCCCCCATGGCCAATTAATATTACCTTATGGTGAAACTTAGACAATCTCATACAAAATTAATCTTATTTTCAATGGCCAATGCGACAAAATTATAGAAAATGTAGTTTCCATTTGAAAAAATGTCTTTCCAGTTTTTATAAAATACGAGTATAAATGTCGTTGTCTTTTTAGCCGTCTGTACTATTTGTTATCCAAATTCAGGAAAAATTCGACTAAAGTAATATAAGAAAGACGTGGCAAATCATATGACAGAGGCAAAATTACAAGAAAAAATTGTTTAATTTTTTGGTTTACATTTTTCTTTTTTTAAGCAAAATTTGAGATATCCTAAAAACGTTTTAGGTATAGAATGATGTACATACAAAGTACTTTAAAAACTCATGTCGGATCCAAAAATTAAATGACTTTAAATGCAACCAAATATTAATAGTCAGTTCTGAAGTTACGCTTCTCAACCTCAATATATGCAATGTAGTACTAAAAGCTGGCTCGATCATACCAAGAATTCCAATTTCTAGGTGTTGTTCCTCTGGTTTAGCTGTGCACAAAAAAAACCAAAAAATACGGCGCGCATTTCCAAAAAATATAAAATGCCTGTTGCTGCATCTGTCAGAACCGAAGTTCATTTAAGTGATAGAGAAAGGCAGTACCTACTACATGATCGAAATTGCCCCACTCTCCCCTCGCACGTACTTGCAGGTACGAGTGGTAGCAGCGCCTGAGCTATTTTCGGCCTAATTACCAACCGATCAGCTGTAAATGGCGCGGCGTCGATGGATAATAATGAGTTATTTGGACGCCCCACAGCCACCGCGCGACTGGCTACTGTGCCTTTCAGCAAGTAGGTTAATAACGGTACCGATGACTTGGTCAAGAACGGAAGCTACACACGGCCGTGTTGCCACGTCACTTCATAAGACGAAGGATGTTTGCAAACCATGCTTTGAGCCTGTATTGTTACTGCTTAGTAAACAGCAACTTGAGAAAAAGGAAAAATGGGCATCGGTCGGATTCGAACCCGCATCTCCTCCTTTCCGGGGAACCGACCTAACCAATTAGTCTACAGCCCAGGGGCAATTTCAATCATACCCACACCACTGGTGCTTTATTATGTCATGCTGCTCGCCTTGGGCCATTTTTAACGTCAAGAAAGTTGTATTAGTAAAAGACATCGATTTCTTAGTCAAGAACGGAATACAGACACAGCCATGTTGTCACGTCACCTGACACGACGAAGAATGCCTGCAAGGCGTACATTGAGGCATTAGTATAAGAAAGTAGCGACAACTCTGTTAATAACGGAAGATAGGCAGCCTTGTTGCCACGTCACTTCATACGATGGAGAATCCTGCAAAGTATGCCTTGAGGCATCCGAAATGTCAAGAAAGCTTTATTAGTACTGAAGACTTGATTAGTTACGGAAGCTGCACACAGCCATGTTGCCACAGTAGTTCATTCGAAGAATGTCTGCAAAACTCAACTGAAACGTCAAGAAAGATTTGTTAGTATGAGACACTACCGATGACTTGATCAAAAACGGAAGCTATATAGTGATGTTGTGACGTCTGACAGTTATGACTTAGTAACCGAAACGCAAAGAAAATCTGTTCCAGGAAAAAGCAATCACAGACGTATCACCACTTCTAGAAGGAACTTAACGATATCATATTTTCGAAACCTATGATTATTGTTGCACAAACCTATAATGAGAAGTAAACGCCTGACAGGTTCGCCTCGCAGATCTAGAACGAGGCGGCCAAAGGCGCTATTCCAAGCTGTTTTATCTATCCTTATAAAAGTGCCGAGATTTTCGAGATTTGGTCGTGCCATATCATGCCCTCGATGATCGTTACCTATTTCTTCAGTTTTCAAGTTTTAATTTTACATTGTTTCCTTCAAAACCTAAGGTCGTGTGTAAGTATGTTAAATCCGGTAACTATGGCAACGTTGAAGAATCTGTAGTTAAAGAGTGCATAGTGCATCACAGATAGCCAGTAGCTATTTATTTTATTTGAATAATGTAAACCGTCTATATGGGCACCGCCTGGGGGTGATCGGGGCTTTCATTGAATTACTTTGTTCGTTCGAGAATCTTAGGGAGAAAGAGTTTTGTAGCAACTTTTCCATTCAACTTTTTCCAGTCTGCTAAACTGACTCGCCTGGCTCCTGCTTTGTAATCTTGATCGTGCTGAAAACTGGCTAGTAGGACCGCTCCTTTGTTCCTGTTGTATCGAGTATGTGGAACAATGTTCTAGTTCAACTTTTTGGTTAGTTTTAACTCGTTTAACAAAATCTCTTCCTACTCTTTTGTAAGAGCCACGGTACTCTGCCATTTAGGCTTCACCTTCATGGCTACTTCATTAAAACACCTATCTGTTTTACTGCTTCCCGTTATGCCTAATATGCAACCTGTGGTGTCACCCTGTATATTCACTACAGTACCAAAGTACTACTACTACTACTACTACTGACCGATTTTCTCCGGAATAATGTATGTAAGTGCCTCGATAACCCAGTTCCGTGAAAATGTCCGCTTGCAGAAGTGTATTTTAAAAACACAACAGCCGAAAAGAGGTGAATGACCTCGCACGCCAGCTTACTTAAACAGCTGGTACTTTTTGAGTGACACGGCGCACCGTTCGCATCCAACAAATTTAAAAGTGTGCAAGTCTGCAGGACAGTTGTTTCAGCATCGGTCAAAATAATTCGTGTGCCCTCTATTTTTAACCACAAAAGATTACCGTGCGCCCCTTTAAAGGCAATGAAGCTTGCAAATTAGAAACCAAATAATTTGAACGTCGTTATTGTTGTGTTATACTTTTTTGAGACGCTTCTCTATGATTAAGGATGAGGCATAAGATAACTCATTTATTTTTGAGACTTAAACAAAACATTTAGAATATGACCTAAATTGATTTTTCTAAATTAAATTTTCCTGAAAAAAAAGGTGTCTGTCAACTTCTCACAAAAATCAAACATTTGGCACATTTTACTTCTCACGCCACGAACGAAGTTTTGTAATCGTCAAAAAGATATTGTTTTTCCGATGAAAGATGACATGTACATCACAAAAATCATATCACTCATTGTTAGCGATCGGATTTTGATGAAATTTTCACACAAGATTACTACTATGCCAAGGATGACAGAACTTGGTACTTACTACAAAAATCGAAAAGAATAAAAATCACTCAAACTTCTTTTTTAATAAACTAGTAATATAGCTTTAGTTTGTCCAAGCATAGACGGCCAACCATGGACAGCTGTTTCGTGCTATTTGACAACTCTTCAGCATGGTGTAGGCTTAGTCTCGGTGGACAACGAACAAAAGCTGAACAACTGTAGTCTATTTAGGGTATAAGGTTTATCGAAAAAGACAGCTCAAAGTAAGATACAAATCCAACAGTCAGCTTGATGTTTTCACTTTCACAGCGGTTGGTTTTGGTAATAGTTGGCACTTTTTGCTGTCTTATTTTGATAATTATTTTCTGATCCTTCAGAGGCTCCTAGGGTTTGGGGTAGTATGAGATGGGGGAGGGTATTTCACAAATCATAAAGTTCTCCATACATTTGTCTTTAAAACTTGAACTGAGACATTTTTCCCATGATTATTTGTTCCAAAAAATATATTTTTGAAAAATCCAACCCGTTTATTTTCCCTAAACAATCTTCCATATCCCTATTTTTTGTTTATGTATCAAAAAATAAATGATTTATAATGAAATTAGAAACGCAGGTTTACTCATTCTAAAAGATATGCTTCTAGAGTGCTTTTAAATAAAGCGTGCATATCCGGCTGGCCCAGGTGACTAGACCGCGGCTCGCAAAAAAGCTTTCCTCTTGAATTGAGACCATCGCCGGACGCCTTGATGTCCATTCTGTATTCTGTTCTGTTGTACCCATTCACTCGAAATGCGTATGTATGCGACATGCGCGGTCATTGACCCGGACCAACCAACCACGGCCGATCAGGTATCAGCCAATCAAATCAAAATTGAGATCAACCAACATACACCAAGCAAACTCAGATGCTGAAGATAAGACATTTTAGGCGGTCATTCACCTGCTTTGCTGATTGTAAATCGAAATCCAGATCAATACATGTGATATCGGCCGACATGCGTAAGGGGTCAATGAACTTAATTGATTTTATCAAAATCCTTGTTTGATAGACTGGTAATCACAGCAGAAATTGCATTGTGAATTCCAAAATTACTGCCTATATTCAATTATTACTTTTGAGATTTATGTTAAGCACCAACCTTCCAGCTAGAGGTAGACACTCGGTCCTTAATGGAACTGGCGGAGATCTCTCAAATTTTTCTAAGCTTTCTGCATGTTTATAAATTTACAAATTCGAATGCACAAGAAATCCTACCCTGTAGATTTTGGATCTTATCAACTGGTTCCTCGTAATTCCGTTGCTCTAGATTTTCAGTCTGTCTTTATATCCTAGGTATTATTCACACAAGCTTCAAATACTCGATTAGTCTCAACTTGAAAAGGTAAAAAATGTAACATCTTAAGCAAGTGTTGTAATTTTCATGATCTCAAAGAGTTATTTCCACATATGGGGTTTCATTTGGCCAAATAAAGATAGACTTCTATCAAATACACATTATTTTTTAATTTACCTAGTGAAAACTTATTAATCGTATTAAGAAAGAAGGTTCTACGTACAATTAAAACATTTGATCACTAGTCTATAAGTGAATGAGAATATCATTAACACCTTCTGATATACTAAAATTACTCTGTGCGTTTTATGTAATAGATAAATGAATGTGTAGATAAATTCGTAGGATAAGCATTTATTGTAAACATATATTGAAGATAAATCACGTGTTACCACATGTAACATTGATCTGTAAGTGCAGAGTAATTTTTTTATTAGAACTTCAAATTGATAATTATTACTACCTATTAAAACTAGAATTCCATTTTTATTACCTAAATTAGATTGTTTTCATACATTTTTCAAAGACTTCACTTTATCGTCAAGTTTATGCTCATGTCTTGTAAACACATATTTAAAATTAAAAGATAATTCCCCTGTTTTACGTCGAAACAAGCATCCAACAAAGATTTGATTTTCAAATCACCAACAAGGCGCTGAAGCTGCTCTCGCCGAAAGCTCTGATATATTTGGTGACAATAATCAATGCGATACTCAGAATCCAGCACTTCCCTGCGGGGAGGAGGACTGCTGAGATCATCATGATTTCAAAGAAGGTGGGTTTGATATTTCCTCAGGATTACCGTCCCATTAGTCTGCTGTCAGCTCCTTCTAAGCTCGCCGAAAAGGTGATTTATCGCCATTTTGAGAATTTCTCGTCAAATCACCACGAGATTCCTGACGTTCAATTCGGTTTTCGGTCCGAGCATAGCACCGAGCTACAGGCAGTCAGGCATGTAACCAGAGGGTTCACCCTCAGCATGAGTACTGGCATCTTGCTTCTAGATGTCTCAAAGGCCTTTGACAAGGTGTGGCACGCGGGCCTCCTTTATAAACTAATCCAAAAGGGTTTCCCTTTTTGGCTTCTAAAATTACTCAAATCCTTTCTTGAAGGAACGAAGTTTTGGAACAAAATTAACAATGTTTTGTCAACAACACGGCCAGTACAGGCCGGTGTTCCTCGGGGTTCGGTCCTAGGACCAATCCTTAATTCGCTTTTTATCCATGATGTCCCTTGCCCCAGAAACTGTGAAGTCTACCTCTATGCTGACGACACTGCACTTATCGCATAGTCATGTGCTGGTGATCTGGTTCACGATGGGTTGCATAGTGCGGTGGAAGAAGTACTAGAGTGGGCGGAACGGTGGCTGATTACAATTAATCATTCGAAAACGCAGGCTATTTATTGTACCACAAAACGTCGCGGCCCCCCAGCAGAGGTTTCTGTAGACGGCAATCGTGTACCATGGACAAATTCTGCCAAGTACCTCGGTGTCACCCTTGATAAGGGCATGACCCGGCAAAAACATTCAGCAGCCTTGAAAACAAAATTCCAAATTTCGTTCCGGCAACTATATCCTTTGTTATGTAGACCCTCCAAATTGAGTTTGATAAAAAAAGTTCACCTATATAAAATGATTATTATACTAGCCATTACTTTTTATGTACGGCTTGGTGTTTTCTTGCCAAGACACACATGCAAAGTCTTCAAGTGCTGCAAAGTAGAACTTTGCGAACAATTTGCAACGCTTCATGCTGTCTCAAACGAGACACTACACACACAAATTCGTAAACATTCAAGGCCACGGCTCGCACTGTAATAAAAAATTAGGGCGAACTAGAAAAATTATGATTACACTCTAACAAAATCGAATCAAAATTTGTTTAGTTCACCTCAAAATTAATCCGTGTACCAAGTCAAAAAACCTAGGTGTTTCCTCTTAAACCAACCACTTCTGTTTTTCTTTGCTCTTCTCCTTTTTTCTTCTCTTTCGCTTTCTCCTTTTCCTTGACATTGTCTGGTTTCTGGGCAACCATGACTGACAGATTCGACTACGAATAGTAGATTTGATTTTTATCCCGGTTCCTCATGGAACGTGGCGATTTGGTGGCAATACAGAAATGGTTATTCTTCTGACAGTTAATAGAAGCCTGCGGCAAAAGTATATTTGCATTCAAAGGAGAAGCCAACTTAAAACAGCAAAAACATTTTTTTTTTGAAGCTAAACAATGGGATCGTTCAGTCAACGTAAAGCGGCTCCGCGCTTTTATGCTGAATAGCAGTAAGCAGTTTAACAACAGTTTTTATTTGGCTATCAGATTTTATAATCTGTGGTTAATGTTGCAAGCTTTTAAAGCCATGCCACGGCTACTGCTATTCAACATAAAGCGCTGCATCACTGGACCGCTTTACGTTGGCTGATGGTCCCATTAATATTAAGACGAAATAAAAACGGTCAATCACTACAAGACCTGATCACTGTGACATTCTCATTATTTCTACTCTGCGAAGATTATTTGATAGTCTACCTAAATACTACTAAATACATCTAAGCAGTTTCAAAGGGTTATAAAAAAACATCTGGATGTATCGAAAAAATGTTTTTAATTTTGAATTGAGTCTAGTTTCAGTAGTGGGTACCCAACAGTGTGTTGCTATCGATTTTTTATACATCCGCGTGCCTTTCTTATAAGCCTTTGAAACTGCTCAATTGGTTCTAGCCGTCCTTTGGGGAACGGAAATGCCTATCCCAGGCGACTTTGCTAGTTTTGCTCGGTGCAATCTTAAATTGCAATGATGGCTTCGCGCAATCTCATCATGTTACAGGACCTTTCAGACTGTAGTTACACACTGTATATGAATATGAAAATGAATGGGAAATCAAACGAAGTGTCAAGACAAAAAACAAAATACTCGTATATTGTCAAAAAGTGTCAATTGAACTTAAAAAAGGTCATCGTTAGGACCGAAACGTCGTTCAATAAAGACGAATTTTAAACATTCTACGGTTTTGATTCGGCCTGACAAGCATCTATACTTGCTATAATCTACGGAAAATTCTAGTTACCCTGCGAGATTGATTCACTGTTTTTTATAATCGGTTTTCAATCGTAATCAAATGTTACTGGCACGTAAAGTTTTAAATATTCAAGTAGTTTCGCGAACAATCTTTAGGTACAGAGAAGAACCGCGAGTTCCTCTGGAAAGATTGTTGAATGAGTCAGTTATTGATTGGTAGTTAGCCTTGCTTAAAATGTAGTAAATACGCAGCATGTTTTTTGTACATCTTTAACGAGGTGATCAAGGCGACGACATTTTGCAAGGGTTTTTGGTATACTTAAGACTCTTATACGTTTCTATTTTAGATAAGTCCTTATAAAGAATGTTCTGCATCACCAATATCCTAGGAATTAACAAACGGTCGTACCAGTTCTTCGATTTACTCATTGATATATTGTTTGATCAACTAATCGATTGCACTGAGAAAAAAATTAAGTAAAAACTATTAATTAATTGGGACAATTAAAAAAAATTTAATTAACTATGTGACAGCTAACAAATTTAATTAGTTTGATTAAAGTCCGATTTCTAAAACAGTTTACTTGAATCTATGAAACAAGTTCAAGAAGGCGCAATCGTTTAATTGAATTTATTAAACCGTTTCCTTAGATTCATTACACCGACTTATTTAAAATTAATGAGCTATTAAAATGAGTTCACCTGCTCCAAGTAAAACAATTTAACTATATTCATTAAATTTGTTTAATTAGTTTAGGTAAAAGTGTCTGTCTAGTTTTAGTGTATTATTTCATTGAGATTTAAAACGACATTCGGATAGTATTTGGAATTTGAAAAAACTAATTGCACTTTACTGAGTGATGTATATTATAACTTTGCTGTGACAAATTTTAGATATCAAAACAATTGAAGATATAATATAAAATTGATAGTCGATGTTTTCAAATCAAAATAAAAACTTCCGAATTCTACAATTCGTAACTTTTTATTTTTATTGATTGTGCACCTATTATATACCAAATATTTGTCTGATTGTCCAAGAAACAGGTTATAGTATATCACCATTCACTAGAAGCAATTCTTTTTTTAAATTCCGACAGTAGGGAAAGGTAGAGCTGATACTGAATAAGGCACTTGATCATGTCTACAAGAAGTGTACTTTTATTTCTAACAATATTTCTAATATTGCACTCACACGCATTCAACGTATTTACATAATATATAAATAAATTCAACAGCACAAGTAAACAAACAAACTAAAGTAGGTACTACAAAGTCTACACCAACAGCACGCTTCACTTCCAATAAAAGAATATAGCACATGAAGCCTATGTTAAGCACATGTTTAGTATAAATGCTCTTCATTGGCCTAAATATGGTTGCATAAATAATATTTCAAAGTTCTTCCTCTTCCGTCACGTCAGCAGCGCCTCCCCTACACAAAGTGTTTCATTTGGGGCGGGAACCATTCTAATAACTATGGTTATGGGTCACTAAGCGCTATATGCTCGAGTATTTTCCTTGATCACCATAATTGATCCCCTCCTCAGCTGCCTGCCGAGCCGCGATTCAAATAAACAGTTCAACAAATTTTATTAAAAAGCTAAATTGTTATAAATGTACCTTTTCTGCATAAACTAAATTACCTTAGTCATTAAAAAGTTCAATAAAACAGGTAGATGGTTTGCAATTTCCAAGAAAATTGGTTTAATTGGCTTTCAGTTAACTTGGCTCCAGAAAATTTTGCTTAATTAAACCGAATAATTTTGTTAGTTAGTGTAATTGAAAAATTTAATACGGAGACTTTTTTCCCAGAACAACTGTTTAATTGAACACGTTTTTTCAGTGTGGTTAACTCAAATTTCTCTACTTTGTTTCAGGTGTAATAAATGTGGCCGGTAAACTATGGAAAGACCAACGTAGGTTTCTTCACGATGGCCTCAGACACTTCGGGATGTCCTATGTGGGCACCAGGAAGCAGCAAATGGAAAAAAGGATCATGAATGAAGTGGAGGAGTTCCTTAACGTGCTCAGGCAAAAAGGAGATGACGCAGTGGACTTGAACCCAGTCTTTGCTGTGTCTATCTCTAACGTTATCTGTGATGTACTCATGTCGGTAAGAAAATATTCTATAGTCTACTTTCGATAGCCCTCGAATGTACTACTAAAAGGTATGAAGCCAAGAAGATGGTAGCGGATGAAAATCCATACATGTAATTTGGTACGCTAATTTCGAGTATAGTCGTCAAAATGGCCTGAAGTGTCGCGAACCCTTATTTAGGAACTTGGTGTTTTGGGGATCTTCCCGTTGGTCGAGTCGAAAACTGATATCAATGCGTTGTTCTAAAGCAAGAGATTTGGTTGTGTTGTTTGATGCTAAATTAGATAAAAACATAACCTCACAATAGAAGAGCGCTGGTTCTGACACGGAATAGTAGAAATTTAGAAATACCCCAGCCTGTCTGAAGAAGAGAAAAGACTGAAAATCATACAAATCAAAAGCATGAATAACTTGATGCAAATGGTATTTTTGAGTCACGCATCTACTTTTTGTACTCCATCTTTATCGCTATAGCAGATAATTGCGACATTCATAACGATAAAGTCAAAAATATGCTGGATAAATTCAGTGATGCTATCATTTGATTTATAAAATTTAAGACATGAAGTAATTTATTCATTTTTTTCTTAATTTTTCAAAAAACTGGTCGGGCTGTTATTTTAGTTAAAAGTGTTGTAATCTAACGATTTGCTTCAATTATTTATGATATGTTTTATTATTATCCTATAAGTGGATTCTTCTGTTGGGCATTAAAGATATATTATTATTATCAAATTAGTATTTACATGCCCAATTTAGCTTGGTAACAAGTTTTTGTCTATCTTGGTTAATACTTGCTGTTGCTCAACACTTTTTTCCTGCGCTATAACGAGAACATTTTTACAGGTAAGGTTTTCGCACACAGATGCGAAATTCATCCGATTCATGAATCTCATCGATGAAGGTTTCAAGCTATTCGGATCTCTAGAAGCTGCTCTCTTCATACCTTTCTTGAGGCACCTACCCGGCTACGCTGCCACTTTGCAGAAATTCGCCAAAGTAAGATGAACACATATTTTAAAGATGAAGTTCGTTAAATGTTTAAACATCCTGCATAATCGAAGATCACGAAAATTCCAAAATTAAGTCCCTGTATCGACCTTTGAGATTGTCATTGAAGGTCGTCAAAATAAATAGGCCAAAACTGATATAATTTTTATCACGACCTAGATCATAACTTAGTTTGAGTTGATTTTAGATTTCAAGTACGTATTATCACAATTTAGATAAAATTATGATATTTCGTGACAGCTGATATCTAATAAAAAAATATATAATATATTTTCTAACCATTTTGGATAATATATAATTTTTATTTTAGTTTTATCTTGTAATACTGGTTAAATCAAACTTGGTGATCGGTTCAACCATTGTTTGGGAAAAATAAGTTTCTATGACACGAAAACACTCTAATTTTGAACATTGTATCCTGATGTATTTAGGAAGAAATTCAAACATTTAAAGTGCAATAAAAAATCATGTTTCAATATTCATAAAACATCAAGATTTTTTTATTAGAATCGCGAAGAAATGGCCAAATTTCTGCAAGAAACGATCGATGAACATAAGAAAACCTTCAATTCTGAGCACCTAAGGGATCTTTTGGACACCTATCTCTATGAGATTCAAAAGGCCAATGCTGAAGGAAATGGACACGACCTTTTTGGTGGAAGGGACCATGGTAAGTAGCTTTCTTTCCCTTTTTAGCTATTTAGTTCTTTCTTGACTTGACTTTGGGTTTAAAAATGCATTAACAATTTGAATACAGCTTTGTTTATTTTATCTCCACGGACGAAATTTCAATCAGTCATTGGGGAGAGTGCATATAAGAGCAAAAGTTCAGGCTCATCAACGTCGCTTATATTAGCCGTTTAAGTAAATATGCTTCGTATTATTGGAATGTGACAGAAATAAATTACAATAATATTTAACACCGATAACAGTGATCATATTCAAACAAAATGGAAAATATTAATTTTTATTATATGATGCAATATACGTGCAGTATGTTGCAGTGAGCTCATTTTTATTGGTCTTTTGAGATAGCGCTGATAACCTGCGAAAAGTGGCGCCTGATAAATGCTTTATCTCATATCTTTTTGTAAATAACTCATTTAAAAATGATATTATTCCTGCAGTTTCGCCAAACCATAACATGACCACTTTTTCTACACTGCTCAGAAATTCTAAAATTCTATTTTATGAAGGATTTCTTGATACGTTAATATAATATCATTGATATAAATCTAAGAAAATAAGAACGTGGTGCGCGGCCATACTGTACCTTAAGTGTGCATTGCTATCATTCCACTTCACCTCCTCTCAGAGTATGATTAGTTGCCAAACAGATGTAACTAATATTTGCGCAAAAATTTTGCTTATTGTTTTTTTAAAGATCGCACTTAAGGCCAGCAATGCTTGAAAATGTATCACTGGGAGGCATAGAATTATTTGAAAAAACTTGTAATGTAGATTTCGTTTGTCCGACTATCGACGGCCTACCATGGACATCTGTTCCGGAAGAAGGACAACTATAGTACAAGTATGTTAATTGTCGAGTAGAGTGTATCTACTATAGTGCCAGAATCGGCGGTATCTAGCGGCCACAGTGCTGACTCTGCTGACTATACGAACTGTCATGCAATTTCAACAGACGGCATTACTTTCGTAATGGTTTATTCTGGTAACAGGTGGCACTTTGTGCTATCTTGTTTCGATAAAATTACTTGTATACATCTTATTTATGCAAAGACCCGGTTTGATTGTTTAAAAAAAATAGTGGGACAAGCGCTTCAAGCTATTTCATTTCTTTCCAGACCGTCAGATGCAGCAAATCATGGGTGACCTATTCTCCGCCGGTATGGAAACGATCAAAAGCACCCTAAGATGGGCGGTACTTTTCATGTTGTACCATCCAGATCGCGCAAAGGCCGTCCAGGAAGAGTTGGACCAAGTTGTTGGCAGGACAAGGTTGCCCAAATTGGAAGATATCGCGTATCTGCCTACCACAGAGTCCACTATCTTGGAGGTGCTCAGGATATCCAGCATTGTACCCATGGGTACCACGCATGCCCCCATTAGGTGAGTATTATTGTGTTGATTTGTATCTTTTCGATTCACGACTCAAAACGAGGTGGTTTCCAACAAATTAACCGATTTGCCTGCAGTTTTTTTAATCGTCTTTGGCTCAGCTGTTTAAAGTTTTGGAAGATGAACTTGAATGAGATATCAAACGAAATGGTTTCATTTGTAGATTACTTAATCGGTCTTTGAATGACAATTGGTCAAGTTGTTTGAAAGTCGGATTCACTTTTCTGTATAATTTTTAACTCCGGACGCAACAATTTGTACAATTGAAAGTCTTCTTTTATTTATCCATAGCAAGCAACTGCTTTATTCTTTATTCTGTATCACGTTAAGAACCAATAGAATCGCAGATCTACTGCACGAATATCGACATGTAGGTTTCGCAGGAGTATTATGTGAAAAACCTGAAAAACGTCAAAAAACCGAGAAAATGACATCGTGCAGACTAGGTAGTTTTTAGTGTTCAAACAGTTCATTCCACTTACAGCTACAAAACAAGTTTAAAGTGCCTAACCGCTTGTGCTAAGTAGAAAAACCTACGTTGTCACCAAAAATCTACAAAATGTAAAAAAAACGACAAAATGTCACTTTTCAAGATACTTAATACCCTGCCGTCCTAAAATTACCACAGGTTAAACTAGTATCATACTTCAGCAGTTCTTGCCTATATTAATGATAACAGATCACTAATGATTTTAAATAACTTGTCTTAGTGTACTTAAAACCCCAAAATACTAACTGTACATCCAAGGAAAGTATGATTTATTCTTAAGGGGTGATTTTAATAAATTATTTTAAGATATTTAGTTAGTTCACCCTTGGAATAATGGAAAAAATAGTTTCAGAAAGTATGTGGCATAGAATGAAGTGATGATTCCAGGACGTATAAGTGGTTTTAATCGTATCTACGTCTAAGGCATCTATAATTAGTATCGTGCAATGTATATTTTAAGTAGTATTTCAGGGTTATTGTCCCAATTTTTTTAAATTATTTATGATTAACGTATTCTTTCAGTCTTCTCACTCTAAAACACAACGTACAAAAGCTCAATTTTTGTACCAAATGACGTTTGCGTATCGTATGTCAACATTGCTAGCTATAAATATAATAAAAAAGGAAAATGCATATTCACAAATAGCTGCGTTGACAAGAAATTCTAAGAATATCCGGTAAACAGAAGTGCATCAACAATAAACATGTTAATCTTTGCGTCGGTGGTGGAGACTTTCAACTTAATAGATTAAATTTTGTATGATGTCTGCTCTGGAAAATATCTGCATCACGTAGTTCATCTGTTTTGCATATCTTTCTTCCGCGAAATTACACTATCTTCACAATGACTCAGTCTTCAATATTTTAAGGTAGTATCATAAATAGACACGAGAAATAACTTTATTGTCAGTAAAAAAGACTAGCTGAAATAGGTAATGCCCTGTAACCATTAAAAAATTCAGCTACTTCTACACCACTTCTTGGATCCATTGCAAATGGCTAAATAGGAAAATCTTGATTGAAAATTCTTGAATCATATCAAATGATGTGATTTAAAAAGGTGTCGAAACACGAAAACCTACTTCAGTATGAGTGTAAACAGTCGATTTTAGACGAATAGTACTCGTTACTTGTCCGAAATATTCCATCCCATATAGTGAATGTTCTAAGCTTACGTATCTTTAGCTTACACAATATAATACAGTCAAATTGTAAAAAACAAACTAGGAAAATCGCTTCCCAAATATGCTTATACAAATATACAAGTTCTCAAAAGCTTTTCTAGTTTTTCGTGATGATAAAAAATGTGTCAAGTAGGTTGATTCGGTACTAACAGTGCGCTAGCTCAAGTGTATTTTTATGTATGCCTGCATACTTTAAACTGTTGAAAAGCGACTTTGGTACAAAACTTTTTTGGACTGATAGTATAACCTATCTGGAATTCATTAAGCCACACAAAGTTGAATCGCGCGATAAACCTTCCTTTGTTCAATAATGAAAAGCAACTTTTTTATTTTTTCGTTTTCTTGATTTTTTTCACATCCTTACACTAGTAGCGAGCTTAATAAAAGTGGATCGGTTCCGCAGTAGATGAACTGCAGCATATAAACGGAATACCAAAATAAAAAATGCATTAAATTAGTAGGAAATTATTAAGTTTTAATTATATAAACTATCAAACAAAACAAAAACCAGGAACCCCATCAAAATATTTACCAAAATAAAAAACACCAAAAGCGTAAATTTACTTAGGATGCAGGTAGTTTGGAATATAGTATATATTCCAAATTATAAGCACCTTTTTTGACAGTTGTTTACACCTTTAGTAAGAAACTAAGAAATTTCTCAAATTTGCAACCGTTTTGGTAATTAATCTGTTTAACAAAATAGCTTATAATTATCAATCATCAAGTAATCAGTCACAATAATCACAAATCAGTATTTGGCCTGAACTTTAGTGTTCTTAGTTACTGTTCTTACAATAAACACAGATAATATGTAGTACACACTGAATTCATAACCACTACAAGCAGCGTGAACTCACAATTTGCACATTAAGCACTGAACCTATTCCAAACTGATAACATGACATCCTAGCTTAAAATTCCATGTCATATTTTCAATTCTAAATATATTCACAAATTCAAAATAAAATTGCAAACTAACGTATCATGGTAAATGATTATCGATGATTGCACTCTTACAGAAAAAGTTTCCAAAGTAGACGTCTGGTTTCCATGTGGCTGGTAGCAGAAATGGCAAGATGGCGACCTGTTCTTAGTATTTGTGGTTTCGTGTGATTAACGGCATTATATTCACGGCAAACAATTACACGCAGCGTTTATATTTATTTAGATAACTAAATATTCCAAGCTATCTGCAGTATTCCAAATATGCTGCTCCTCCTCTACCTTGTAGCTTTTTGAAGATTCATGGAGGAGACAGACAACTGTACAAATTTAAAATAGACATTCACATACACATATGTCCGTTTTCACGTAGGTACTGCTTCCAAAGGACTTGCAGTATTTCACCTTAGTGGGCTGCGTTGCGCGCTGCTATTCATAGAGTATTCAAACTGACTGTACTAACATAATGACGATTAACATGGCGACCTTGTAACCACGTTTTCAATAGCGTAAAATTGATCTTTCAATTTACGATCCATCATCCTACTGATAATTGTAGGTTCATGGTAGTACAAACTTCACGAATGATACGTTAACTATTTTTGGACAAACACCAACTATAGTAATCAATTAGTTGCTCCTATATCGCAATTCAGATAACATCATAAATATGTATGTTAACATGTCAGAATTTATTGATTGACCGTATTTGTTAGGCAATACCGGAAAATGTTTTCAATCAAGTAAATAAGAATTTTACCTCCTACACCAATTTTGACAATCTACTTGATGTTATTTTTTTCTATTTAATGTAATCACTATGGAGCAATACTCTTACTGTGTGATCCACCTTTTCAAGAAAAAATATCAGATATGTATTACTTATAATAGTAGGTCACGGTCATATTTTAAATGGGGCCGCGATTATTTTTGATACAACATAACTACAGATAAAATTATTGAACATTGATGGACTTCAACTTAGACATACATTATGTTCCTTCTTTCACAATGTATCCTTGAAAATATAGACCAGCGTTATAGAGATTTCAGGGCACTTGAAAGTGATAAGATTATCTGCAGTATATTTTTATTTTATTTATTTTTTAGAAGTCGAATTGAAAATATAGTTATTATATGAAATAACTGTCAAAGATAGAACTACAATTGTCAGTAGTTTTTATTACAAATTCATTACACGGGTTGTACTAAATTAGTAGATACTAGGAGTCATATTGATGTAAACTAAGGCCACGGTGTCTTCATATATCTCTTCATTAACAAACTTCCTCATGTTGAATATATTACAATTAAATTCAATACACCGGTAGGATCTTATCCTATTTTCATGAGGTCTATTTATTTTTGTATTGTACGATCCAAAGTAGATTACGCAATTCTTTTTTTGCCATAATAGCCTCAGCGGAGTACGCTTTTATTAACATCTTGGCCTGCTTAAAGACATCATCCATGCTCAACGATTGTGATGCTACCGCATTATCCCAAAAGGCATTTTGAGTCGTTTTGTCACAGATACTTCTTTATTACTCCTAACTCCGACAGTCATATCTTTAAAACATAAGATTTACGCATGCTTTGTGGAAAATCTTTATAAAAGGACCCTTCTATATAGTTCAATACATGTGCTTGTAATAAGAATCACTTGACATCTTGCTTGCACCCTGTCGTGTGTTCTGGGAAAAGATTTCTCAAGAATTTCATTAAATTCTCGTAACCTTCACATTTAAGATAGGGTAAACGAACTGCTAGCCTCACGTTACCATATTCAACTTTTTACATATTATATTTTTGTTCAGTCTGACTAACAGAGGCGTACCAATCTGAAAATAGTTCGAGAAATACCTAAAGCTCGAATTAGTGATCTGGAAGAATGGAGTTTTCACATTTGCTGGTTACGGATCTGTTATCAAAATTAATTACCTTAGAATCAAAATCATGGGACCAGAATAATGGATCGTGTACCAAAAGTTTTTTTTGGATAAAAAATATTCGATAAATGCAATTTTAGTAAAGTACCATTAGACGTAAAAAGATGAAACATTTGAACTTAGGCCCACTGAATGTATTTTTTAAATGTTCAGTGAAATGTATTCAAAATTGCAGATTAAAAATTGTATCTAGTGATTTTTAATTTACGATTGTTTCTAATTATTTTTTTATTTCAAGTAGATCTCACTAAACTTAACAATCTATTTAATTTATATATTTTCAATTTCTTAAATTACTTGAGTTATAAAATAAAATTCTGCACCGACGATAGACGGCTCAGTTATCCCAGAGCCAAATAAAAATACTGCTAGATTTAAAAAGGAATGTGGAGATACCCTTAAATTGCGCCAAATTTATTCATC